GTGTGTGTGTGTGTGTGTGTGCGCGCGTATGCCATTGACGAGGTGGTGACTGTGGTTTCTAGATTATATTATAATATTAATATTTTAAGTCAACTTGAAACATCATCTAACACAATACTTTTTTTTTTTATCAAGCAGACTAACAGAAACGGCGAGTGGCATCTTTCAAGTGGCACTAAATAGGGCATGTTTTGATCATTTTATCTCACTGATGTCACTGCATAAGCATCAAGGTTGAGTTCTTCCTGGCAGTGGATTTGTTGGCATGAGATAGTGCTTTACAAAGCAGACTGCAATCTTTAAAGGCCTCAGACTGTAGTTCATAGTGAAAACTGGTTCACCCCCATCATCTGCGGTGTAAAGAAAGGCTGTCAAAAGAGTGACTGCCCCTCTTTATCATAAATACAGCCCTGAGAGCTAAGGAAAGAAAATTCAATAGGTTTCAAAATAGAAGACATCACAGCCGCCCTGAAATGGAGGTCTAAAAATAGGAAGCATATCCCGCCAAAGGAGAGTGACAACATAGTTCAATTAGGCGGCTCAGGAAAGAGAAAGACAGGTGTATGGAGACTGTAAATATACCTCCTTTCACAAACATAACTTCCCTCCGATGTCTTTTATTACCTACTGTTTTTCACTGGCGGATGTTTTTTCTTGACTTAAGATCTATTATATGACCAGTTGTGTGGCAGTTTAATAGCAAAACTAGGGTTGGGCAATAATGAGAAAAAATTCTGACATGATTTGAACCAAACGTCACTGTAGACAAACAGATTTCAATGCTGCTAAATTAGCACTATAATAATCATATTTATTTAAATAACAAATAATAGAAAATTATAGTTAAAAAATAAAACTATAATAAAAATAGTACCATGTTCTTTATTTTTACCTTCCCATTGAAAATATCTATTTAAATGTCAAATGTGTCTTAAATAGTAAATATCTCAAAATCATTATGAAACTTAAAAGTGAATTAAGATAACTGTGATATTTACAATACTACTACTTATTTTTATAAATCACCAAAATAATTATTTTGAATAAATCAAATGTTCAGTGTATCACCCAACACTATTGAGTCCCAAAAAAGGTGTTGAAGTGTTAGGTGGGAAAAAAAAATAAATAAAAGAAAGAAAGCAAGACTTTATTTTCTGCCTCAATGCAACACAGCAAAGCTAAACTTAATGGCTTGGTTTTCCACATAGACAACTTTTTGTTAAAACATCAATGTTTGAAACGGAGAAAGGGAAGAATTGCTTTAGCAGCTGGCATGGATTACTGCCCAAATGCTTGTCAGCAAGCGAATAATGGATGTGTTTTGAGAGTCAGAGAGCAGAAAACAAAGGCTGGATCAGGTTATGGGCAGTACCTGTTCTAGGGTTTTCAGAGTTCAGTCAGGATCTGGATAAGGTTGCACATGGGAATCAGGTTAGAGGTTATTCCTCAGAGAAGAGTTACAGTATAGATGAAGAGAAAGAATAAGAAATAGAGTGCCAAAAGGAGAAAGATAGACAAGATCTTGCACAACTAGAGCCTAAATATATCAGCCAATCAGAATGCTGAGTTAAAGATATTAACATATAACAAAAACAGTCAACACTGTACAACAAATCTTAAATATAGTGAAGTTTCTTTACTTTGGTGTCTTATAGAATAAACATACATGAAAACATACTGACATTTCTAGAATGGTTCCTCATTTTAAATAATAGTTTTTTTTTCTTATCAGTTATGTAAAATAATAAAGCAATATTTTGAGGCCAATTTGTCCTCAAAGGGTTAGTTCACCCGAAAAATGAAAATTAGCCCACAAATTACTCACCCTCAAGTCATCCTAGGTGTATATGACTTTCTTCTTTCA